CACGGACACTCGGACAGACCCACGGACACTCGGACACACGGACAGACCCACGGACACTCGGACACACGGACAGACCCACGGACACTCGGACAGACCCACGGACACACGGACAGACCCACGGACACTCGGACACTCGGACAAACCCACGGACACGCAGACAGACCCACAGACACTCGGACACGCGGCCGGACACACGGACACACGGACAGCCCCACAGACACACGGACAGACCCACGGACACTCAGACACTCGGACAGCCCCACGGACACACGGACAGACCCACGGACACACGGACAGACCCACAGACACTCGGACACGCGGACAGACCCACGGACACTCAGACACTCGGACAGACCCACGGACACTCGGACAGACCCACGGACACTCGGACACACGGACAGACCCACGGACACTCGGACAGACACTCGGACACTCGGACGGACACTCGGACAGACCCACGGACACTCGGACAGACCCACGGACACTCGGACACTCGGGCCGGGCCCCCGCGGCAGCCGGGGAGGGGGCGTGGCTTAGCGCCGTGGGCGTGGCCTAGAGGGGCGGGGGGCGTGGCCTCGGCATTGCGGCAAGTGAGAGGCGCGCCGGGAGGGGGCGTGGCTTCAGCCCCGTTGTTTTGCATAGAGGGGGCGTGGCTTAGCGCCCATTGATTTCCACGGAGGGGGCGTGGCTTAGCGCACATTTATTTCAACGGAGGGGGCGTGGCTTAGCGCCCATTGATTTCAACGGAGGGGGCGTGGCTTAACCCCCCCATTGATTTCAATGGAGGGGGCGCGGCCTCGCCCTGCGGCAATGGGCGGGGTTATTCAAATGAGGCCGCGTGGGCGTGGCTTCTCTTAAAGGGGCCGCGTCGCTTGGGAGGAGCTCCCAAAGGGATCCTGAACTAAATTTGGGAATTTTTCCCAAAAAAACCCAAAATCTCGGCCGGGTCCCCGAGGACCCCCCCCCCGGACCCAAATTTGGGGAATTTGGGACGGGTCACCCCTCCCCCACCCCCCCAGGAGCCCCAAATTTGGGTTGGGGGGGGGAGGGGCCCGTCCCGCCTCTTTTTTTTATTTTTTTTTCCTCCTAAAATTCCCAATTTTGGGGTCGCGGCCGTTTGGGGACCCTCCAAAATCAGGAATTATCACCCCAAAAAATTTCCCCCCCAGAAATCCCCAGTTTTCCCCCCGAAATTCCCAATTTTCTCCCCAAAAATTCCCATTTCCCCCCCAAAATTCCCAATTTCCCCCCCCAAAAATTCCCATTTTTCTCCTAATTTCCATTTTCCCCCTAAAATCCCCATTTCCCCTACAAAATACACAATTTCCCCCCGCAAAATTCCAATTTTTCCCCAAATTCCTGGGTTTTCTCCCCAAAATCCCCCATTTCCCCCCAAAATTCCCAAATTTTCCCCACAAAAATTCCTTTTTTTCCCAAAAACCCCAAATTTTCCCCCCAAAATTCCCAATTTTCCCCCAAAATTCCAATTTTTCCCCAAATTCCTGGATTTTCTCCCCAAAATCCCCAATTTCCCCCCAAAATTCCCATTTTTTCTCCCTAAAATATCCCATTTTCCCCCCAAAATCCCCAAATTTCCCCCAAAATCCCCAAATTTCCCCCAAAATCCCCAAATTCCTCCCAAAATTCCCAATTTTCCCCCAAAATTCCCACTTTCCCCCCAAAATTCCCATTTTCCCCCAAAATCGACTCAGACTTGGAATTTTTGGGATCGGGGGGAGCGACCCCCAATTTTTATTCCCAAAGATCCCAAAATTCTGAATTTTTGGGGATATTTTGGAAATTTTTTGGGACTATTTTTGGGACTATTTTTGGGGATATTTTTGGGAAATTTTGGGACTATTTTGGGAATGTTTGGGACTATTTTAGGGAATTTTTGGGGGTATTTTTGGGGATATTTTTGAGAATTTTTTGGGAATTTTTGGGGTTATTTTTGGGGATATTTTTGGGAATTTTTGGGGATATTTTTGAGGATTTTTGGCGATGTTTTTGGGGATGTTTTGGGGATATTTTTGGGGATATTTCTGGGAATATTTTGGCAATATTTCTGGTATTTTTTGGGATGTTTTTGGGATATTTTTGGGGATTTTTTGGATGTTTTTGGGATATTTTTGGGGATGATTTGGGGATATTTCTTAGGATGTTTTTTGGGATACTTTTGGGGATGTTTATGGGATGTTTTTGGGTTGTTTTTGGGATGTTTTTGGGTTGTTTCTGGGATGTTTTTGGGGATTTTTGGGGTTATTTTTGGGGATATTTCTGGGAATTTTTTGGGAATATTTCTTTTTTTTTTGGGGATGTTTTTGGATATTTTGGGGATTTTTTTGGGGATATTTT